TCCTGGCTATTTCGGTCACTGCCTGCTTACAGGAATGTGGCGGTTTTTTACTTGGCACGTTCGGTAAATTTGGTGCATGTGCAAACATCCGGAGGCAACAACTGCACTCTTTGGGCTGCCTCAACGCACATCACCTATCAGTTTGAAAGCTGGTGGGTTCGTGCATGCCTGATTGCCACGTCCGATCTCTCGTGAAGCGGGTTGTGATTTCTCGGGGCGGTTGTTCACGTCGCAGGTTTTCTGCGCACCACCTGCACCCTGGATATTTCACATATATACAAATAATATACTCTTATACATGTGTGTGTGTGGGTGTCTTTTTGTTCTTTTGATGTCTGGCGCATTTTCGTGCTGGCTTTGAGGTCCGACCCCCGAACCGGCCTAGGGATTAGGACACTTTCGCCTGACTCTCTCTGTTTGGAGTTTGTTGTGTTTTGCTCGGTGTTTTGTGTGAGGACCCCGGCTCCAGGTGCTGGTATGTGCCGTTGTTCGGGTCTGCTGGTTGTTCCGAGGTGCTGAGGTGGTGCTCAGCCGTGGACACGCATGCTGGCATGAGCTGCAGCCAGGTGAGGACTGGGCATGCCAGCTGTGATCTCAAAGTCGTGGGCAACAAAAATGCGAAAAGAGGGAGCATTCGAGCTACCACGTCCTGTGGTTCAACGCGTTTCGACCGCGTGTCAGTGTTTCAAGAAAGGCCGCCACCTTGACTTGTTAAAAAGCACTCCACATGTACAGGGCCGAGTTTCTTCCTAGGAGCCCGCTCATTCTGGATGCTGAAAACATCCCTCTGCCCTTGCCCCCTTTGTCCTCGCAGCTCTCGTGAGTTTGGCGATCTTTTCTAGCATGTCCTTAGCTGATTAGCTGCAGCCGCAAACGGGCAACCCGGAGACCGCTCTGCAGAGCACCTGACTCCAGTTCGTGCTTCCACGCCATGGTACGACAAATGGGGAAAACAACATGGTCATTAAATGGGAGAAAACTAAAATCCACCTGTCATCCCCCCAAAATCACCCAAAGCGCACCTCCTGCAGCTCCCTCCATCAAAGCACGACAAAAGCACAACAGCAAGCAGCTTTGATCGAGACTGTCTGCTTCGGCTCGAGGGCCCTGCCAACAGCTCAGTGGCACCAAACTTGCAGCCCGGGATCTTGGCAGCTCTTGGTACGTGTCTCCAACGCGTCCTGCTGCAAAACTTTCACCGATGCTTGCACCCCAAAGGACCGCCCAACACGGCGAAGCACGTCCCGCTGCACATCTGAGTTTATTTGGGTTTTGCCAATTGTTTCTGGTGTGTCAGCTCACGTTTTCAAAACTATCTTTGAGCAATGCCTGTCGGAGGTTGAGAAGTTAAGAAGTCAAGGTCCCTCCCACCTCCAAGCCGATGGTGTTGATGCCCGCAGCGTTTGCCATTGGCAGCACCGCCCTTACAAGGCTGTGGGGCCACTCATCGTGGTGGGAGCATGCCCTGGTTCGTGTTGAATCATTGCTCTACCTGTGGCGTTGCTTTCGGTCGCTTGTCGCACTCCAACACCTAGCATGCCCCAGGTCTGCGCACATTCCAGCATCGTGGACCCCGGAACTGAGTTTCTTCCGTCCAATTCTCTCCAAGGGCAGCCGGGCAGAGGCCGTTTGACAAGGCACTCCAGCAGCCCAATGTTGCCGCTGATGCGAGCCGCTAGCGCCGCCCACAGTGCCTCTTTCTGCCTGCGGATTGGCCCATACTGCGCCTCCGCCCGCCTCGGTTTCGAAACGCAGGCCGGGTTGGTGCCCAGCTGTGAATCAGGAAAGCCAGGCAAGCCTCGCAATGATTCAACTTGCGGGGATGAGTCATTCACACCAAGGTATGGGTCAAAATTAAGCCACTGGGGGACCGCAGATTTTAGTCTATGTTTCCACTTGCCAGGGTTCCATTTTGGGTACCTATGTTTGACCCACAGCCACCAGGCTTTCGCAGCTGACCTCGGCCGAGGCGCCGGAGCATTTCGCAGCGCTCTGGCTGCAGCCCAGCCTCCTCACTCCGCCACAGCGCCATCCGGAAGGCGTCGCCGGTGCCCTCAGAGAAAGCATAGCGGTGCAAAGACTTGGCTGTGGGTCGAAAATAGGTACCCCAAATGGAACCCTGGTAAGTGGAAACATGGAGCAAAACCTGCGGTCCCCTGGTGGTTCATTTTGACCCATACCCATTTCAAGCAACACGGCGCCAAGGCCACAACTACCTTGAAACCGGAGTTGATGTGCCAGCACCCCAAGGGCAAAGAGCAAAGGGGCAAACAAACAAATAAGCGCCCGTGAGATCCCAGACGCGGAAACAGACACGCTCAAGAAGCACAGAGAATTCCGAAGTCACTGACACACATGCAGGAAGACTGAAACGTACCAAAGGAGATATGGAGATATTAAATGGGTTGTTGGGCAGGCTTAAAACGGGAAACCCACATGAAAACCACAAATTGTGTGATCCCAGTTTGACATACCCTAACGCAGCAAAGGAATGACAAAGCAAACCGCCAAGGCGCCTTCTCCATTGCATCGCTCAGAGCATTGTAGGCGGCTACGAACTGACCAATCTGCAGCCTCGATTTGGAGGTGCGGTGAATCGTGCCCAACCAAGAAGCTATCCATTGTCTCTCTCTCTCTCTCTCTCTGTCTCTCTTTCTTTCTTTTTTTCTTTCTTTCTGTCTTTCTTTCTTTCTTTCCTTTCTTTCTGTCTTTCTTTCTTTCTTTCTTTCTTCTTTCGTTCTCTCTCTCTCTCTCTCCCGCTCCCTCTCTCTCTCTCTCTCCATCGCCATCGACTACGAAGCTATTCATTGGGGATGGAAGAATCATGAGAAGGCAAGTCATCAACTGTTCAGCTGGTTCAGCTTCTGTAGCTTGTGGATGCTACGTGATTTGCTGCCAAAACCCTCCCGAAGTTGTAATCGCATCCCTGGCCCCTGCCGACCCAATGAAATCCACCCCGCCCCATGATCTTGGGCACCTGCATCACTTCTGTCTGCCAGCTTGAGGCAAGTCAAGTCGTTCCAAGTAGGCACATCGAACAACAAGACCGCCAAAAAAACTGCATAGAAGCTCCAACTTAAAAGCTCAGAACATCATGGAAGATCCAAGGAGCCTAGGAGCCTCCAACTGCAAATCCCCAAATCAAAGCTTGATCGTCAATTAACTTACTGGTGGTTTCCAGCACCGCCACGTTTCTCTTTTGGGAGCTCGGCCTGAAAGAAAAAAAACGAGAAAAAAACACACCGGGCTAAGGTTCTTCTGGGATCCCCCGCAGCAGCGGCACGGCGTCGGAGCGTTGGGCCAGACGGCCTCTGGAAATCCAGGGCCTCAGCTCGTTGAGGAGCTCCAAGTCTTCCAACTGCAGCGCCTGAACCGCCGAGAGCCCCCGGCGCGAAAATCCGCGGGGAAAATCAACCAGCGCGTGTTTTTTTTTGGTTCCCCCCCCCCCCCGTTTTCGGGGCTCCGGGGTTCGGTGCATCGGACCGGGAGCGGCTCATGAGGAGACAAGTTGTTTGCTTTAAATCGGTGTTCAGCTTGCTGGTCTATGTTTATTGCGTTGTGTTTGTTACATGGTATACTTGTTTTGCGGCTTATCTTGTTTGCTTGGTTACTCTGTTTGTTGCGGGGTTTGGCCCTAACCCAAGCCAGGTACGTTCTGTTTCATCTAGTTTGCCCGGAGCAGCCAAAGTAAAGGCCCAAGTCCAAGTGTGCAACCAATGCATAAGAGAATGCATCAAGTGCGTGAAATCCGCAAGGCTGCCGATGTGTCATGCACAGTTGCCAACGTATCTGCCTAATCAGCCTTGTGGGGCGCAACCGTCTGATCCGCGCCTCTTCGAGGCACTGCATGATCCTTAGCCACTGAACGCGGAGGCATTGGCCAGCGGCAGAGGGGCATGTCGTTTTTTAGGAGACCCCCAAAATGGTGGGTTGCCCTTTGGTTTCCTGCAAAACCACCAAAGAAGAGGTACCCTCAAAAAAAAACAGACCCAAATGCTGTAGATTACCTCCTAGCCCTGCAATGCCCTTGCGGCAGCCTGGCCCGTCACGCCAATCCAATGCCAATCACGCGCAAACATGCCAACACTAAATTAAGAACCACACCCCAACCAGTGCACGTGACCCTGGTTGTCAGAGAACCCGACATTTTGACTGCACCTCGATGTCCACTGAAGGCAAGGTCATAAGCACATCCCCGCTACGGACACCCAAACTCAGAAAGGGGGAAGAGGAGGACTGACCAAAGAGCGATTCCGGCAGGGCCTGAGCCAAACACCAGGGCCCCAAAGAAGAGGAGATCGGAAGAGACGGCAAGCTTCAGGACAGTCAGGGGATGTTCTCCCCCGGAAGAGTAAGCATACCATAATTCCTGCACCAGCAGCGCAACCAACAAGCCACCCCTCATTGCAAATCCACGTGACGCAGGGAACGCCAGCTCTTCAGCATGGCGCCAGCTCTTCAGCATGGCGCAGCGCGCAACATCTTCAATTCAGCAACAAAGAAACAACACACAGCACCCAAAGCAGCATTTGGGTGTGGGCCAAAATTAAACCGCACGGCCACCACAGGTTTTAGTCCTTGGTTCCATTTGCCACCAGAAACGGGGTACCAAAAGCCCATTTCAGGCTGTCAACAAGCTATACCAAATGAGATTGTAGAAGCTGAGTTACACATGCGTACAGAACTCATTGTGGGTACCTATTTTTGACCCAAAGCACAATTTCAGCCTGGCCACCCAGACTGCAAATGGTCTATGGCCCGCTTCAGAAGAGCATTGACCTTCTTGGCCAAACTCGCCAGCCCGGCTTCTTTCAACCTGAGCGGAGCATGCGACATTCGTGGAGTATACACGTCACTCCTTCTGTCCAAGCGAGAGGGACACGCATCATGTCTCAATTTATATTCATCTATGTTCGTGTTGATGTCCACTTCATGTACGGGCTGTTGGGATTGCAGAGGGCACAGCTTTGCTGCATTCCTCTAGGGCAAACAGGGAGCCTTCATGGCCTCAACAGTGCCCGGGCAAGTTCCAGCTTTAGGAGCCAACCTTGGTGGGGATAGTCATGGCAGTCGAGCACCAAAGTCAGCCCCAAACATGCTTCCACAGACCACGGCACCTGAAGTGCAGCTTGTCCAGAGCCACTAGCGACCCTTCCGCCAGGTTGCTTTGGAAGCGTGTCCTCTGCTGTCTCGATGCCCTGTAGCATCCAGGCCCATCCTCGGCTTCCGAGAAATGCGACTTAAGACTTGAGCATATATCGACTGCGCAACCTCCACGCTGTGCTTGCACCTACTGACGCGTTCCGATCGCACCGGGCGTCTACGCAGGGACTGCTCGGGCCGAGGCTCGCGGCCCGGCTGGCAGCGGCACCTTGAGGATCTCCTTGAGGCGGCGGCTGGCGAAGCTCTCGTAGACGAAAGCCTCGCGTACCATGAGCCTGGCAGATGCGCATGGAACGAATCAAAGCTGCAACCCTGCCAGCCTGCTTCAGCGGTGTTGCTTTTGGATCGAGGGGGAAAAAAACACGCCTGCCATGCCGTGGCAAATATTTTGTGTGGCAAAGATTTTGTGTGCCTCATGAAACAAGATCAACCTGTCCTGTCCTCCATGCGTGGCCGCGACCTGAACAGCACATCTTTTTCCTGCTCGCCGAGGAGATGCCAACTGTAAGTCGCTTCAAGATCCGGCTCCTCCCCTCAAGATCTCCAGGCTTGACTCCAACGCAAACAACACACAGGCTCCCAACAACTGCCAAGACCTGACCATGTACGTATGACACTTTACCTCTAAGAGAGGATCTACACACGTAGCAAGTATTATATAGATCACAAGCTGCAGGTCACACCAGGCAAACCTTCCCCGCAATTCCTAGAACCAGGTGACCCGCTGAAACTTTATTGGGACACTGAGGCTGCCGTGGCAAAACAAGAAGATCGCCATGGCCTTGGGGGTGGGGCGGTTCAGCCACGCGGATTCTGGGATGTGCGCGCTTGCTTTGGCTCATTGTGAGCCAACCTTAGAGCAGGTCGACGTCTGGCGACTGCCCCTGGCGCATTGCTTGCATCTTGTTGAGCTCTTCCTCTGTCTGCCGCAGCCGCTGCTGTGCCCGGGCCAGCTCGAGCCTCAAAAGGCTATTCTCCTGGAGGGGACACCATCTCATTGACCCTGCCCCCTGCCCACCAGCCTCTGATAGCCCTCACTTCATCAAGTAGACATGTTTGCCAACTGTTCCTAGCTGAGGCCCGTAAACAAAATAAGGGAAGCACAAACATGTAACTAGGTCTTTGCATGAAGGTGCGCGAACCCAAAACAATACTTCGCTTCGAGCAATCCCCACCCTCCACACTCACGAGCTTACGACCGTGAACACGGTTATGTGAATTCAAGCACGGTTTTCGTCTGTGCGTCAAAAACCACTTGTCTGCGAGCCGATCTCGAGAAGTCAAACATTGGGCGGGATACTCGGCGGGATCCACTGGCGAGCCGCTGTAACGAAATACTCGGCGGGATCCACTGACGAGCCGCTCTGGCGTACTCGGCGGAATCCACTGGCGAGCCGCTCTGGCGGAATACTTGGCGGGATCCACTGGCCAGCAGCTCTGGCGGGATACTGGGCGGGATCCACTGACGAGCAGCTCTGGCTGGATACTTGGCGGGATCCACTGGCGAGCCGCTCTGGCTGGCCAGCAGCTCTGGCGGGATACTGGCGAGCCGCTCTGGCGGGATACTTGGCGGGATCCACTGGCCAGCAGCTCTGGCGGGATACTGGGCGGGATCCACTGACGAGCAGCTCTGGCGGGATACTCGGCGGGATCCACTTGCGAGCTGCTCTGGCGGGATGCTTGGCGGGATCCACTGGCGAGCTGCTCTGGCGGGATCCACTGGGTGGGGGCGTGGTGTAGAAGCATCGCAAACGCGGATTCCAACATAAAATCTAACAACCCCTTCCTGCCGGGTGGGGGAAAAGGTTGTTTGTCACTTTAGTAAGCACCAGGCTTACGCCAGCGTGGCAAGTAGCAGCAAGCAAAAATTAGTTTCCCCAGGGCTTCGGAAACTATGTTGCTTGAAAAACCTTGCTTCGGAAACCAAGAAAACATGCTTCGGCCCCAAGATTAGGCTTGCTTCGGAAACTGCGGAGACCAAGAATACAGAGACCTACTGACGATCAGCCACCTCTCGGCCCGTCACCTTGGCCAACTCGGTCATGAGTGTCAAAGAAAGGGGCTGCAAGGAACCCACGTAAATTCACGTATTTCACGTTTGGCAGCGCACCACGGGTGTGCAGAGTCAAGGGACGCCACCCACCGCACCCTGCACCCTGCACACCCTGCACACCCTGCACACCTGCACACCCTGCACACCCTGCACACCCTGCACACCCTGCACACCCTGCACACCCTGCACACCCTGCACACCCTGCACACCCTGCACCAGCATGCTCTCAACACCCCCACCCCACCCTCTTACTTTCTCTGGCTGTTGGGTGCTGAGCAGTGAATGCTGGTTTCTGAAGCAAAGTTTCTGAAGCGGGAAAGCTGAAGCGTGATTTCTCAAGCGACCCTCTTTTTGGTTGCTGAAGCGATGTGCAAGCGTATGCAGTTTGGCTTATGAAGCGTAGTTGCAGAAGCGGCATGCATTCAGGGATTCTCCCGTCGCTTCCCGGCATCGCAACTTTGCCACAACAAAGAAAGGCACGAGTACGAGTAGATCAAGCAGAGCTGTCAGGTGAGAGCCTCTCTGTCCACAAACAACCGCCGACAAATCCAAAAGGATCTGAACTTGGCAAAGCCTTCGCATCCCTTCGCAACCTCTTCATGCAGTCGATCACCACATACCACCACCCACTCCTGCTCCAAGTGAGTGGAACTCGGCTGGCCCTCCATGAGCTTTGCCATGTCATTGGCCATCTTCGAGACCTCTTGGCAAATCGGCCTGGGCTCAGCCACCGAGAAATCCCGGCGCCTTGCCCGGCTGAGGGAAAACAACAAGCATCACACCGCATGTTGAGTTCTCAAATGCATTGTTGGGCGTTTGTGTGTGTGCTTGGGCACTGGGCACGCAATACTTGCACCAGTTCGGAAATGCAGTCATCACCCCCATCTAACAAACATGTTCTGGCAAATTCCGCGCCCGCTCGCCAACAGTCGCGTCCCATAATTCGGCTTGGACCTTGCTTGTGGCAACTCGCTCCCCTCACTTGTGCCTGAGTTTAGGTCTCAACACGGAGGGAAGGAGAACTGTCGCACGCTTCGGGTTGGTTTGCGGATGTCAAACAGGTCGCAGCCATAGCTTGCTTCAGGCAGACCCTCTCGTCTTGGCACTCTGCAATGCAACCCGTAACCCGCCCCCCCCCCCAAAAAAAAACAAAAAACTTTGAAAGCAAGGCCCTGCTTTCAAATAAGGTGTACCATGCGAGCCGGCTCCGCAGCTCGGCACGAGACCCGAGATCCACGCCACGCGGCTCGGGCGCCTGCGGCCAAGGCGCCAAATCTCCGGAAACCGCTGCTGCACCGACGCGGGCGCGCTGGGCACCAGCCCGTCCAGGCCGTCCAGGGTCCCCAGCATGGCCAAGCGCAGACTGGTCGCCAAGTCGGCCAAGCCGTCGCCTGCGTCGGGAAGAACGCCTTTGGTGTCCCGTGCTGGCAGGCCGCGGTGTGCTGATAATTGGCCGAATCTGCACATTTGCTGCGACTGGATGGGCATCGGTGATTTCCCTCTCAAACTCGCGCAGAAGCGCAAAGTCACCCTATGGAGAAAAGCGAGTTGAGTGACTGCAAGTTCGGCTAGGTTGAATTGGCTCCCACATCGGACATTAAAAGCTTGGCATCTGGCATCAGGCAGGAATGCTTGAAGTAGCGCTGGCCAACCTCCTTCTACTGAAGAGGCAGTATGCAAGATGCGAGGTGACGCTCTATGGTCCAATGGGAGCCGGTTGGCTTCCGCCACATGTCATGGGCATGCCAATTCACGGGCGATTCTGCGACGAGCTGCAAAAAAGGGATTGAAAGGGATGCACAAAGGCCCTTGACACCAAAAATATGGCCTGCATGGAAGGCACAGCTCAGCCCTTGGACACGTGTTGCACCTCAAGCAGCGTTTTGCTCGTGCCCGGCTTGCCCAACTCGTTTCCCTCCGTAGCGCCCGAGCCTTGGGGCTGCGTCAGCCTCTCCTTGAGACCCTGGCAGTGCAGCTCCATGGTGGAAGAGGGGTCTCCTGCCTGACGGTTTTTGGCCGGGGCACTGACATAGACCCCGGATATGGCAGATACTTCAACTCCCACGATCACCCTCTTTCAGGGCACCTCGCTGGCGTTGGATCCTTTACAAGGAAACTGGTCCAAACCAGAACCCTTTCTGCTGAGCGCCACGCAAGAATTCAAGCAAGACTGCCACTTCGACCCGAAACCTCAAACGCCAGCGAGTGTCACGGCGAGCTCCGAGCTCCTCTCGGTTTCGTGAGCGTTTGGCAAGCCGAGGTGCCAACAGCTCCTCCATGGTGAGCGGAGCGCCCGCATCACCCAGGAACCGCAGCACCACGGACAAGGCTCCCTGCAGCTTGTCAGCCGACGGGTCAGCCAGGGGCAGGTCAGAAGGCTTCTCAGGCGAGAGCTTTTCAGAGGGCTTTTCAGCCTGGCGGAGTGATTGATGCAAGGCCGCAAGCCTGGAAAACAAGTAGCATGCTACTTGCTGCCCTCAACGTGGCGACACGAAGCCCATGGTCCAGTCGAGCGACATCTAGCGGGGCACACGGCGATCGCGGTTCGCTCTCCAGGCTGGGATTCGACTGAAGTGTGACGTTCTTCCTGGGCTGCCCGCGAAGAACGGGTAGTTTCTATCAAACTCATCCTGTCTGCCAACTCATGGGAGATACACTTCATTTGAAGGAGAACAGTGAAAGCCGTCCAATATCAATGCCAACTGAATCTGAAGATAACCGCAAAGGAGAATCTTGTAAGAGAATCAAAAGGGGCCCTTTCAGACACCCTTCAAACGCTGTTTTGCGACCTGAGTGTCTCTGACTTGTCTAGCGATGAGCGCTTCTCCAGAAGGCCCCCTCCAAGCAAGTCCTGCAGACAAGCGCCGCGGCAAGCAAGCCCTGCATCAAGCACTTGAACCCCCTTGCATGTTGGCTACCAAATCGATCTGCACTTATACTTATCTCCGTTCCTGTTTGGTGGTTCCACAGTCCATCCCCGCATGTGCCCATCCAAAAGCGCTTTGCGTCGAGCTACTCGCCCTCCCAATGTTGTTTGGTGCAACTCCTGCAGCAAATCAAGCAACTCTGCGTCTTGTGCTGATATCAGGAGCAAAGCAGGCACAAGCTCAGCAACTCCAATTGGAAACTCGGGAAAGAACAGGGATCAGAGTGGAATGGCCGAACAAAAACATAGCGAGGACATAGCTCTGAAGCAGGCTGCTCCCATCAAGCCACACCTTCTGCTGCAAAGGGAAGCCACGGTTCAGAAAGAAAACTTGGCTCAATGGCAGCCAGCTCTCCTGGAACCGCTGCTGGCCATAATTGGCCGCCTTGAGGTTTGCCTGCTGCTTCCGCTCCTGCAGACAGCCAACCGTGATCAGCAGACAGTCCCCTTTGACAAGGCGTCTGGCTTTTTAGGCAGCTCTTCGGCCAACAGCCACGGGCCAACAGCGGCGGGCCAACGTCTCGCAAGCTACTCGTTCGCGGCGTGCCAATCTTCCAGGAAAAGCCCAAGCCCCTACCCTATTGTAGGATGCTTGGATGGTTGAACGTCAGAGAGTCAGAGACCCAGACTTTTTTTGCAGATGCACGCTCCTTTGCCTGCAGCCCAAATTGAACACTTCTTCATCCAAAAAGTACCAAGCAAGCCTGGGAAATATCCACGAAACAAACAATTTGTTTGACATCCAAGCCAGTTCCTGCTGCAAGCTTCACCTAAGCGCCCCCCCCCACCTGCTCGCTCTGCTTCCGCAATGCCATCTGCGCACGCAGTTCTGGATTGTGGTAGCCTTTGTGCTGCGCCAAGTATCAAGTATTGCACAAAAAGGATTGAAGTATAGAAGGTTGAAAAGTAAGTTTGGACTGATCAGGAAGGTAACTAGCTGCTAACTGCAAGAAATGCTCCCTTCGCGGTTCTCCTGTGTGCCTCAAATGCAAAAAATCACTAGCCGCTTACATGTCAAAAGCACTTACATAGACATGAGCCTTTAGCGCAAGGCCCCGCACAGGCCAATATGCGTACAGGAGAGGCCCAACCAATCCAAGTCGCTGAATTTCAGCCGGAGCTTAGGATACTCCTGCTTCGCCAGGAGGTGGATCACCGCCTGTGTGAACATCATCTCTGGCGCGTATGCCTCAAGATTGTGATTCGAAGGTAGGAGGCCAACCCAGCTGTCCCACTGGTGAGGCGGCTGCAGCAGGTTCTTGCCTCAGCTGAAGGTAAAAGCCACTCAGCGAGAGGGGAACAGGTGGTTCTCAACTTCTTGCTCTTGCATGCACAGGTGGTTAGTAGGCTAGAACCGCAAGACAGTGATGGCCAAGTAAGGAACAAGGCAATTCTCACAGAAATGTTTTGACGGTCCGTTGCTGGGAAGCGCTTGCAGGACATGCTTGCTCCATTCTCGCTGGCGCGATGATGCGTCAAAGATTGCTCACATCGGGCCAATGCTGGCATGGATCAACAGCTGGCCAAATTATTGGATAAAGAAAAGTTGTGGCCCTGCTCAGAAGCACCACCCCCATCAACATGCGAAGAGGTACAGCTCCTGCAGCGCCAAGAGCAAAAAGAACATCAGAAACATCACACGTCCCCTTAAGCTAGGCTGCCAATCACTCCCAGCGGCAGCACCATGTGCCACAGCACCGGGTTCCCTCAGGGACCACATGATCTCCGCATGCCATTCACGCCAAGCCCTTGCATCTGTCCCGGCTTTTGCGGCCGAGGCCCCGCTATCACTGCACCCTTGCTCTAGAGGGCAGCATGAGGTGATGTCTTCAAAACATCAGGCGAAGAGAGAGAGAGAGAGAGAGAGAGAGAGAGAGAGAGAGAGTGTGAGAGAGAGAGAGAGAGATTCATTCGCATTGCGGGAGGTGCTAGTCTGCTGGTCTGAGGTAGGTGCAAACAGTGCAAACATATTCACCAAACAAGGGTGGCTGAGGTTAAGGCGTGAATTGTCAATGTTCAAGATGGCTTGGAGCTTACCGTTTTGGGAGTGAAATGGCATCATGCTGGAACCTGAAACTTCCCACTGCTCCAACATAGCTCGTTGTGGAAACGGGTGGGACCCAGGTGAAAGACCCCGAGAGTGTGGAGCTTGCGCTGCCTGGAAAAAAACCCACTTCCGCGCCTGAAGCCAGCCTCTTCCGGACGAAGAGCTTCAGGTTGATCTGCAAGGGGCAGTCCATGAGGTCGATCCCCGTGGACTTCAGGAGGGACGCGCACTCGAAGAGAGCAACGCCCTCGCTGGTTGCCAGCTCGGTGTAGAGCTCATCCGAAGGGAACTGCTTGGAGTCCACGATGGAGATGTTCAAATACGTGGGCTCGCCCTCTGACATCTCACATGGCGCCAGCGCCAGCTGCTCTCCCCCGTGCAGCTTAACATGGGAGAGCGAAGCCAAAGCTGCGGAGAGAATGATGAGAGGCTCTCAGCCGCTCTGCCCCGTCGGCCAAACGGGTTTGGGGGTGCGGGTGGGTGGCTGACCCTCCGGCCAACCAACATGGATGCTGAGAGAGGGGTGCTGGAAGAGCATGATCGAAAAACCAAAACTAAAGTGGGCTCTATGCGTTTCATGTTGGACAGGGTAAATCCCGTGCAACAAGGAAGCGTCAGTCTTGGGGATCCCGCTACTCATTTGGGCCCAGCTTGCAGGTTGCAGTGAGAAAGTCTTCAAGAACGCGTGGCACCATGTTTGATGCTAGCAATCGAGTGGCGAATGTGTCATGTAAACTTGGAAGTTCTGGACATTAAAATGTCATGCTTGAAGCTTGTAAGATGCAACACCGGCAAAACACTGCAACGATTCACAGTCTGAAACGCACGGCCAACGATAGACCAGCATAGACCAGCTGTGCATGCTCTTTGCAGGGCAGCGCCCACGCAATTGTTTGCTTGGCCTGTCAGAGATTGAATGAATGCGAACCGTTCACCATGCATGGCCCATAACGCCTCTTCTGGACAATCTGGAGATTCTGCTTGGCAGACTCCAGCCCCTCCACGTCGCTGGCAATATCCATGGAGGCCTTGCGCTGAAAGCATGAAGGAACGATGCCCATGGCAACTTGGCAGCTCAAGGCCACCCCAGCTTGACTCCTGGCCAAGTTCAAGGGCCGTGTTGACTTGTGAAGCGGTGCCAAGATCCTGATGCAACTTTCAGACATGGTCATAGGTCAAAATCCCGTACCCCAGAAAACATCCCAATCCCCACTAAAATAGACTAAAATGGGTGGTGCACCTGCCCCAAAATGGTACCATTGGTTTTGACCCACAGCCACATGGGTTGCAACGGCAGGATGGCCAGCTGCCGCACAAGGGGCTAGGTCATTCAGTATGCTGCTCTTCTCGAGAAAGTTTGCCTCGGCGTTCTGTTGCTCCTTTCATTTTGATCAGAAGTGGGCAGAGCCCAAGGGATCAGTATCATATCCCAACTGCTCTGCACGACTGCTAATACCTGTTTTCAGGCTTCATGAAGATCAAGGAAGCTCTGTTGTCAAGGCGCTGCTATCCGTCAACGCGTTTTCTTTGGCCCATAAGCAAGAACTGCAGCTCGCATTTACTTGGCATCCGAGGAGCGGTCGTGCACGCGGCTTGCAGGAATCGGCCGGCCTGCTGCTGTCGTATGGGCCTTGTGCCTGCGATCCTGGCCAGTGGAAGGCATGCGGCTGAGCAACATCGCGCAAGATCGGAGAAGCCGTGCACAGTTGCGATGCTCAACACCAGAATTCCGAACAGCCGCCCCTACTACATGCGACACTGAAACATCACTGAATCTGCGCGAGCCGCCTGTGTACGCGGCTGACATGAGAGAAACACAAAGACCAAGAAGCTCCAGCAACTCCCTAATCCAAAAGACGTAGCGCCTTCGACCAGAATCACTTTGGCTTCGAAGTGAGGCTGAGGAACACCCTCGAGAGGAAGAAGGCGAGCCATGGGTAAGATACCCAGACGACATTAGCTCAGAAAAGAAAGCCCATTCGTTTCAAAGCTCCGTGGACACAATGGACCCACAAAACAACATGCCGCTGCCATGTCGGCACTGCCAAATTGTGAGGGCAAGAAACTGAACCACAAACACACACCAAGGTTCTTCCCCCGAGAATTCCGCCGGAAAAACCCGGACCGCTCCGGTGGCTCCCCGTCTTGTTCTTTTTTTGCGTTTTTTTTTTTTTGGGGGGGGGGGTTTGGGTTCGGTCTCGCCCGCCCACATCCCCGTCCATCCTGAGCGAGGCCGAAGCATTGGCGGACTTCCGGAAAGGCGAGCAGGGCAAGGAGCTGGAGCGGAAGGGGCTCGTGGAGCCCTCGGAGCGAGAGCATGCGCCGGCGCGAAAGCGCGCGCCAGCCGCACCCCTGGGGGTTTCGGGCGGCGGGAAGTGGTTGAGGTGCGCTAAAAAGACACACAATGACACACACACACAAAAAAAACGGGAATGTGGGGCGCCCCCCCCCCAAAAAAAAAAGAAAGAAAGAATCGAAAGAGGAAAAAACGAAAATGTGGTGGGGAGATTCTGAAGGTGATGGTTGGCCAAGGGGAAAACCAGCTTCGGAAAACCTTGGGAGCATCAAGGTTATGGGAAGACAACGACACACTCCCAGTTGATGTGGGCAACGGAGATGACTCAACCAAAATGGGGGCGGGGGGGAATTGTGGAATTGTGCCATCTGCTTTCATATATGCAGCAAGGGTGGCGCATTGTGCATTTAAGCCTGGCTTCTGGCCAGGTCTGGGGCAAACAATTCTTAATACTTGGGCAAAAGCTGCTTGCAATGCTTCCCCAATCAGCATCTCACGCTGCAGCGTGTACTGCACTGCAGCAGGCAACCTGCTAAGGGCTGCCTCACGGGTCAGCGTGCGGGTGCCGATTTCAATGGTCGCCCTTGGACATGTCAAACATGATACTCAACAGGCTGACCAGGGTCCACTACTTTTCCAGGAAGCCTGAAAGAGCCTTGAAGCTTCTTGCACGGGTCTTCCTTCTAAGCTTCCTGCCTTGACTTGTGCGATTTTGCCCAGTGGCTGCCATGACTTTTGGAGCTGCTGCCTTCTAGAGCGCGCTAGTAGCTTCAGAACGCCGCATGAAGCGATTCATTTGGGAGGGCCACGCCGACACGGTCATGACACCAAGGACTCTGGTCTGACTTGCCGAAAAAGCAGGGAAGGAAAGAATAGTGAGTCGCCCCCTGAATTTGGCTCAGGGATCATCCGGACTCCATGCGGAGGAGGATGCCATAGACATGCTCTGCGACGATCGTGCGGGAAGCTGCAGCCGCGGTGATGGCGAAAATGCGCCTCGGATCGCCCAACTCCACCCGCATCAGTCCAGAACATGAATTTGGAATCTCACTATGTGTCTCAAACACCACCACCACCACCACCACCACCACCACCACCACCACCACCACTACCATTACCATTGCCACTACCATTTCCATTACCACTACCACTACCATTACCATTACCACTACCATTACCATTACCACTGCCATTACCATTACCACTACAATTACCATTACCACTACCATTACCACTGCCATTTCCATTACCACTTACCATTACCATTACCAGTTACCATTACCATTGCCAGTACCATTACCACTACCATTACCATTACCACTACCATTACCATTACTACTGCCATTACCATTACCACTACCATTACCATTGCCACTACCATTACCACTGCCATTTCCACTACCACTACCATTACCATTACCATTACCAGTACCATTACCATTGCCAGTACCATCACCACTACCATTACCATTACCACTACCATTACCATTACCACTACCACTACCATTACCACTACCACTACCATTACCATTACCACTACTTCCATCTGCTTTAAGCATTCATGTTCATTCCTGTCGTCATCCTCCCCATCAAACGGCTGGCCGGGCAGGTGATGGGCAGGTGATGTTTTCACAAGCCCGTGCATCCCACTCACCACGAGGCCGTCAATGCCAAGGCACCTGCAAACGACATCCTTCCGAGCCGCGGCGCGGCTAATTTCACTTGCACGAGGGAAGCTGCACTTGGCTCGGGCTGGAGTTGTGTAACGGGTTGGCGGACCTGCAGGTGGTCGGGCTATAGCCTGCCTAGCTTCATACGGCAAATCTCCTGCTTCAAGCCAAACGCTTCGAAAAAGTAACGCGCAAGCACATGTGTAAAGATCCACTCTGTTCAATCAAAGGCCCGCTGATTCCAGCCACATTCATCCAAGCAGTGGCACTTTGCACGATGCAACGCGTGCTAAATGACAGCACGGTTGCTCCATGGCCTGACTTTTTCGAGACGGTAACTTATCCATAGCCCACGTCATCAGGCAAGCACTGCCTCAGCCAGGCGGTGCTTGGGACCCAGGTGCCTCTCCCGAGGTACCTGAAAGTTCCTACCCAGGCTCCGAGGCTGATGGCCGCTGATTCGCTGAGTGCCCGGCACCCACACCGGGAAGTACAGCAGCGACGTGGTATTTCTTGCCTGGCGTCCGCTCACTCGGCAGGAATCAAGGCATGTGCACCTGGCCACCCCAAAGTCTGCTGGTCAGATGTAGTCAGGAGCCATGCTCGGGGCAGAAAACCTGTCAGCAAACCACCTGAGAGCCTGGCCCAAAGCCAAATCCACTGAGGAACGGCATCTGAACCTGCCATATTTGAGCGAATGGGTCGAGAGGCAAGAAGCTTCTGCCATGTTTTCCCACTTTCCCTCCGACTGAAGGGGCAATTCACCCCAAATGACCATTGTTCAGCTACGGCCTGCAAAATAGCGCAGCAACACACATCACTCCTGACGAGTGATTCTCAGTCTGGCCGGCCCTATTGTCGACCTCCCTCCATGTCTCTCACCTGCCATGAGCCAGCTTCGCATCCCGTCCGTGCGCCACCCGCCTGCCGATTGCTCGCGCGCCACTTCCCCAAGGATCTGCGCCACCACCACGCCCACACCGGCACCACGGCCTGTGGCATGCCGATGGCAGGATGGACCTCCTGATACTGTGGATGGACGAAATCCATTTCGCACCACCCTAAAATGATGATTCTCTCTGTACATACTAACAAACGCTGGTTTCCCATGGTTTCAAAGTGGCAGGATTTCGTCCTTCCACAGTATCACTGCAATATGTCCTTGCCGCGTAAGCCCCAACTCCCAACCACCTCCCTAGCCTCGAATGCGCAAAAATGGATTCTGGGATCAGCGTGCTAACCGTTGCTCTTCTGCAACCATCGCCAAGTGGACGCGGCAATGCATTTGTTGGACTGGTCTTCAGACTTCAGCTGGCAAAGCTCTTTGGATAACCGGGCCAGCGCCACCATAGTGGTAGGAGAAGCCACCGGACGTCACAAAGCCGACAAGTGCTCGAATCGCCTCCACCTGTGGCTGGCATTGGCACATGCCAAGCTCAAACAGGCAGCCTATTGTAAGCCACCGGCCTTTGTGACCGCACCCTCTGAACATAAGAATAAAGGAGTACAGGGCACCCCTCCAAAGAGACCGTAGATGAATAGTCTTCCAAAAAGTATGCCCACTCCCAGGTTTGTTTGTGGGTAGTAGTTCATGGCCGCAACTCAACCAAGCCCTACAATACCCATAGGGGATGACTCAGCAGTGCAGAGCTTCTTGCCTTCTCTGCCTCCTTCTGCTGGCGCCGCAGCCTTCCACGCTTCTGGCTGCTATGCCGCGGCTCCTGCGGCACATCTCAATGGTGCATTTGTTCCCTTGCCCAACCCGTGTGCAAGACTTTACCCCCCTTCCACCAGGCACAACCGCATTTGCACACGCAGAGCTGTGCACACTAGCCGCTGCTGGCCAATACGCGACGTGTTCAAATAGAAAGACCTGCTCATGGCCGCAGCGAGCCGCAGGACTGCTCGTTTTTCTGCTTTCGCCCATGCTGCGCGAGCGCTTTCTTCAGGCCGGTCACGCCATGAGCAGCGGCGACGGTGGCGTAGACCCCAGCCTGCCGGAGCCTTGAAGAATGGCCCGGCTGAGGCACATGCCCAGCGAGCGGTGCAGGTCTTGCAACTCCTGCGTGCTGCACTTGGCGCCGGAGGTGGCCTTGGGTCGAGATAGCGACTCGCCCGAGTCAGAAAGTCCAACCCATTTGTCAACCGCAGGGGCTTGCCGATAGTGCCAACATCCCCAAGTTGGTGCCCCGCACGTCAAAAACGTTTCAACCTGGCACCTTGTCCAACAGTTCGTCCAATTCTAAGGATTGGATTGAGACAGAACAAGTCAATTGATCCCAGGCACGTCATTGGCAATCCGCATCAAAGCCAGCACTTCTTCCGGCTCGAAGGGCGAGGGATCTTCATCCAAGGCTGTTGCAAGCTCCTCCTCGCGATGCAACGATCTGATCTGAAATTGGACTGAGTTAGGTGTCCGGGAACCGATTCCATCCGGCTATGGCGAACTCATCCCGTCACTGTTTTTTTTTTTTTTTTAATTAACATGCTGTCCTTGAGCACATGAAGCTGCACGAAGGATGACGCGAACCCATGCGACAGCCTCAGCGAAGCGGCAATCCATTGAATGCAAAAGCAAACTAAAGCCAAGTGTGAAGTAACAGCTCGTGATGAGGCACATGCTACCCGGCAGTGCACTCGAACTCTCGCCAGCCACGATCGCAAACCCATACATAGGCCCATGGTTGCTATGGTTGCTGGTAGCTGGCTTGGTCAGGCTCATTGGTTCTTGGCTGATTGACACCCGCCTCACAGACCAATGGCCCATATTCGCTTTAGAGACCCTACCCCAGCCCATGGCGAGTTTCCAAAACGACCCAATGACCTCGCAGCGTCTCCCTTCCCTGCCAGGCTGCAGCTTCACCAGAACCGGCGCCCACGACGCCGCAGGGCGCTTCGCCTTCTGCAGCGCATGGCAGCGTGCGTACCTTGCGAATCTCGCAACGCCCCCAAGCGCGCCACAAAAGGGGCAGCCCTTGGGCATGTGCACACCAACTCCTCAGAGCCTTCGGGTCCTGACTGGGTTCTCCCGTTTTGCTTCTCGCACGTTGGCAGCTGCACGCTTCGAGGGGATTTTGCCAAAGCGCTGGATGTAGAAGTAGAGCCTCGCGGAAGCTGGCAGCGAAGGCAGGGGCCGTGGCGCTCCCACGGGCACCAGCGAGGCGAGCAGCGCATAGGAAGGGCAATCATCGAAGGACTCCTGGGGAGTCCTAACCTGCAAACCTGCAAGCACGCCTCTCACTTGTCTCCATCTCACGCTTTCCTTGCTGATGGAGACGGCAATAGAGACGGCACGTCCAAGCTAGTGTGGTTCGGGATTTGAAAGCACTTGGCTTCTAAACCCTAACCCTTGCAAACGGCCAGAATGCACTTGACTCGGAACTCCATTTTGAAGCTTGCATTTCCTGCTTTAGTATTGGGTCACATGTGCTTGCTTCGCTCAAAGCATTCAGCGAGAGGTATGGGGCTTGTGCGCATGAACTGTATGCGGGCAACGTCGCTCAAAGAGCAACATGTTGGTTGCTTGTTTTCCCATCAAGCCGTGCCGCATGGCAGCATGCGAACACTCAAGTCGCAAAAGAACACACCAAACACAACAACCACACAAAAGGCACTTGGGAGCTGGCAGCTGGCCAAACCGCCCAAACATCCCAAACGGCTCACAGAAAAGCCGGCAGTCCCTTGGACCCCGCCCACATCCAACTCCTCGAGGTTTGCAGGCGCCAGCTCCTCCAGCAACCGGCCCATGTCCTCCTTCGCCAGCTCATCGCAGAAGTCCGAGAGCCGGGTGATGCGCTCCGCGTCCGCGCCGGGCCTGGACCATGCACCCAGTGTCTGCTGCGTCAAAATGGCCGAAATTCCGACATGCTAGGCCAAAGAGCACATGGAAGTACATGAAATACTTGGAACGTGCGTAACAAAAGTGTGAGGAGAAGAACAGCTCTGTGTGTGTGTGTGTGTGTCTATGTGCTCATGTTCCGCCGAGCGTAGGAAATAGTGCTAAATTAGGGCAGCGCCTGGTGCAATACGGTTACCAGCTCCCGCAATTCCAAAAAACGACACCGTATCCAAAATTGCCAGGCAGCTGCCCATGCAAAACGAACAAGCAAAAGCTCTGGCGCTTCCAAACACAAAGCATCATCCTGCAAGAGGCGGCTAGCAGTGGATCAACTTGTTACCCTTGTCGCTCTTACTTCCAGCACAGAGCAACCCAGCTCCAAGCCGCAAAGTGGCTGTTCTGCAAAAAGTGAGCTGCTAGGCTGGCCAGCTTCCCAGCGAACTCGCTTCGGCCACATCCGAGCTATCAATCACGTCCGAGCCCGCGGATCGCGGGAGTGGGGTCCAACCAGTTCTGATCTGGGCTATGTGTTTTCCCCCCCCCATCCCCCCCTTTTTTTGGCCGAACTTTTCTTCTCAAGTTCCCAGGAAGCCCCAGCCAACCCAAGCCAACCATCTCCAGCCTGCGCTTCATGGCCACCACCGCCCAGCAGGCCCAGGCAATGGCATGCAGCGGCTGGCCCTTGAGGTGCTGGGCTCGGCGCCAGCAGTGCTCGTAGCCCAGCTCGCCTCAGACCCAACCCGTGGGCCTCTTGGATTCCCGCCAAACCGCACGGGAAAAACCGACGACGGGTGCGCGGTTGGTGGTGTCGCGGTGTTGTCACCAGTGTCCAGATGTCCCAGTGTTGTCTCGGCTGTGTTTTTGGTGGCGTTCTGAGCACCATGGAACAATGAGCAATGCGTAAATCACGCAAGCAAAATGACGCCTTGCGATGAGCTTTTGTGGCTGCGAGGCAGAAAGCCCTGTGGGAATTACAGGCCAGCCAATATTGGTGTTGGGGTCTGTGGTTGTATGTTCGGCTTCTCTGTCGGACGCCTGCCATGGGAGAGCACCAAAGCAAAGGGCACTTGGCTTTGCATCTTCGCTTCCAGGCGGCTCATCTCCAGGTCCTCCAGAACACCCAAGGCCTGCCACAGCGCCTGGTCATCCTCCACGGCGCTGGCGCAGTACCTGCCGAACCACAGCCAGCGCTGGGATCTGCCCACCCCAATCAGAACACAAGAGGCGGCACTCGTCGGCCAGGGTCGCCAAGAAGCGCCCGGTTTCAGGAGCGGCGCCAGCCCTCAAATAGTTGAGGCCGTACCTGAGGCTTCAAGGGCCGATTAAACAGCAACGCTGAAGGACTAGCCATAATCCTGTCACTTGGGGGTTGAACTGTCGGGGGCTCTGAACCTCTCCTTGTGGCCTCAGCTTCTCGAAACCGAGGCTCCGCCAGAGCTTCGGCTCGCCGCTGCGCAGATCTTCAGCATAGGCGATGAGGTGCTGGTCCCGCGGGGGCGTCCCCGTCTCCGAGGACAGCGGCAGCCGACCGGCGTAGTACAACAAATCCACCAGGTGCACCATGAAGTACTGCGGGAACCTGGCAATAGGCGGCGACATCCATCCTCTTAACCCGGAACCCGGGTGCAGGACGAAAAAGCGGATGGTATTCATCCTGCCGATACTTGCGCATGGGAAAGCAAGCGGGGGGGAAAGGTGCCCTGCCTTGGTCAGCCTCCCTCGCACCATAGGCATGTTTTGTGCTATCCATTGCTACATGCTTGGCATCCTGTCACCAGTCCAAGCCCGCTACCAGCCAGATTGCAAGAGGTGCCAGGTCATCCAGCAACCCTGCCTGCTCTAGCAGAGCAAAGCGAACAGGAAAGGGCTAATTACATGAACAACCAACTCTGGCATGCAATGGACTTAAGGTTTGTCAAATCTCCGTAAAGGAACTGCAATAGCTGGAGTTCTTGGGCATTGGCCCGCACGCAACCGCCACAGCAAGAAGCAAACCCCCAGCAAAACGCAGTTGTTCACTGTCCAGCCCGAATAAATGACTGGGCAAACTCATGACCAATAAGGATCCACGCGCGACGGCATGTCCAACCACCCTGCGCAGCCGAGCAGCTTCTCCGGCATTGAGGAAAGCAGCTTCAGCAGGCCTGGCACGTCACACTTCAAGGTTGCGATGAAGCCGCGGTCCACATCATCAATGGACTCGTCCTGGTGTCTCCTTGCCGGCACTGTGAACTCACCATGTTCTGGCGTCAAAGCTAAGAGGCGCGCAGAATTCGCCCAAGAGATTTGCTTGCATTCGGCTTCTGTTCCTACGTTGCTGCGCAGAATCACGCCACTCGCACCCCTCACTCCATCCGTCCTTGCCACAGCTAGAAGCAAATCCCCAAGCTCGGAGCGCCGCAGGTCGGGGAAGACCCAGGCATGAGTGAAGACGAGGTCTTCCACCCAAGAGCGAGCGAACTTGCAGGCAACGTCCTCAACATTTCCACTGGACAACCGCTTTGGTCGTTTTCACTGTCCAATGTTAACTCAGACAGGGATCCGCAAGGGGGCTGATATTGGCCCTCTGAAGGGGACAGCATGAATGCCACAACAAATGTCACACTCCCTGAAGGGATAAAAACCTTCAGCCATGAAAACATGTGTTTAAACAAAGCAGATCTCCGAGTGAATTGGTATGGGGCCACAAGGCCCAACGCAACAATTGCTTGTGGGGCAAGCCAAACACTCCTGCGCATGTCAATTCTAAACCTAGAAGTCAGCACCCCACTTGCTTACCAGCAATGAACCAGGGCTGGTGCTGAATGGGACAGGTGCTTTCCCTGCTTGCTGTGCCTGATTCCGTTGCTTTTCCGACCCCACGCTCCACTGTGACCAGGAGAA